CTCCGCATCGGAAACAAATTGTCTCCCTTCTTTGCATACCGGGCCCATGCTGCCATCCTCTACGAGCTTCATTCTTTCTATTTCCTCCCGGAACAATATCCATCTTAGCCACTAGTCCATCCTGCAGCTCCTTAGCATTTTGTTCAGCTAGCTCAAACGAGACTGCTATAGAAAATACCCTGTCCAAGGTGACATCGTCATCCTCCTGTAACAATTTCTTCTGAAGGCTTTCCGATTTTATACCAGCCACAAAACGGTCTCGTAACATGACCTCCAACATTTCACCAAAAGTGCAATCCATAGCCAAATGCCGGAGCTCACGCAGGTATTCTGAGACGGATTCATTTTCGAGTTGTATTCTCTTCAAGAACCTGCATCGTTGAGGAATCACCTTCTTTCTTGGAGCTAGATGTAGTTTTATTCTTTGTACTAACAATTCATACGGCTGTTCTCTCATTGTACTCGGGAAAAATAAATCATTGCCCAGTTTCAACATCTCCGAATCCAGCAGAGAAACAAAGATGGGCATTCTTCTTTTTTCTTCTAATGCATTTGCCTCAAAGGCTGCTTCAAACCTCTGAACGAAAATCTCAAAGGATTCTTCCCCCGGCCTGAAGAAACCGAACGGTACAATCACTGAACTTCCAGACATCCTGTTGGCTTCTCGTTCGCTTAGATTTCTATCTTCCTCCACCTGTGAACGAGCACTTGAAACGGTTCCCACACACTCGTCGCCAGTTGTTGTGTCGCCTCCCAGTAGTAGTCACGACACGCAGCCTATCTTTACTGGTCAATTTCTATTTAATTGCACCGTTAATGTTCTATATATACAAATAGATATTTACATATTAATAATAAAAAAACATGCAAAATACATACAGATATTTAACACTTTGCATACACAACATTTCTATATCTATTTATTCATATAAATAGCATTATATAATCTAATTTTTATTCATATTTATTTATTTTATATTTATCCTTACATAACCTTATTGAACGATATAATGAAGAAGTTTCAATCTCGATCTCCTCTCAGGCAATATAGATTATCTTTCAACACCATTTTATCATCTGATAGCTGATAATCTCAGGATTTCTAATCACTAATGATTGCTAAACTTCCATCTCTTATTTCTCGTCGGTTGGATTGGATCCTTCGTCAACATCGGTTCTCTAGTAATATTTGATGTGAAGTTTTCTGTAAGAATAGAGAGGTTAGCAGTTCATATCATAAGAAGTATAATGCCAAAATTATTGTTAAATTTTACAATAGATTGAAATAATAACTTCCAATCAACAGATGATCTTCGATATTAAAGTTATTAATTCCAAATGACAATTACAATTTCAATCTATCGATAAATGTAACAATAATTTTGACATTATGCTTCTTATGATATGAGCTGCTAACCTCTCTATTCTTACAGGTAACTTCAGATCAAAGATTACTAGAGAACCGATGTTGACGGAGGATCCAACCCAACAGACGAGAAATAAGGATGGAAGTTTAACAAAATGGATTCCTATTTTTAAATGAATTGCCATCTATCGATAAAATGTGTAACAAATAAATTTACTGGCAATGTGTTTCTTTTTAATAATATCGTTAAATATTGTCGCGCGCTGCCCCTCCGGTTCTTCGCGACGACGCCGCTTCTTCCTTCGTGGATCACCTACCCTGTCTCCCGTCGCTGTCCTCTGCAGCCCTACCCTGCAGACCACCCAAAGACCTCCTGAGAACCACCACTCAAGTGGATCTCCTTTCCTCTGGCAGTATCTCTCGGCCTTACCACTGGTGGGGGGACACGAGAGACTTACCAGAAGAGTAGCGAGTGATATACGCGACAATATTATCTCTACAGATCTTACTGCCATGATAAAAGTTATTGAATGAAAGGGCTTGGCTCATCAGTGGTGGTATATAACAAAATCAATCCAATACAATAGTAGAATGTTCTGGAGATTAATTTGGCGAAACTGCTGAGAGGATTCAACACTGATGAGCCAAGCCCTCTCTTTCAATAACTTTTATCAATGCAGTAAGGCCTGTAGAGATATTCGATGATATTATTAAAAAGAAACACATTTCCAATAAATTTATTTGTTACAATTTTTATAGATTCCCATCTCTTTCAAACTGAAAGATCAACGATATACAGACTGCTGAGTTCGAAATAAATATACAGTTAAATCTGTCTATAGCGCCTCCTCTAAATAGCGCCTCCCTCTCTATAGCGCCCAATTTTAAATACGTAGTACGATGTGATTTGCATTAAAAGTGACCTGTCTATAGCACCCCCACTCTATAGCACCCTATTTTGGTGAGTCCCAAGAGAGGGTGCTATAGACAGGTTTAACTGTATTTTGTACTAAAAACAGTTTTATTGCAATTTTTATAGTCAAAAAATGTGTACGACCAACTATAGAAAATTTAGGAAATTTATTCTCAGAATTGGTGCATCAGAAAACCCTCATTGTTTCTGTGGTAATGATATGAAGGACATCGGATGCTTAACTTTTGAAGAATAAAAAAAGACAGGTAGACTTCAATGACAATATTATCAAATACTTTCTTAAATATTCATGTTTTTTGTAGATATATCCTCAAAACTATAAAGAACATATTGTAATTGAATTATATAAGCTGGTATATAGCCAATTTGTTATGATGTAAAGAAATGTATTGACCCAAATATCCCCGAGTTTGGGATATCGCGTTATAAGATGTTAATAAAGTTAATTGTGAATATAATGTATACTAGGGATAAGAAAAAAATTACGGGGAAAATATATTTTGCATTTTTAAAAATTGAAAAAAAAAAAATGCTAACCATTATACCACCGTCGCTTGCCTCTCGATATTCTTGAAAAGTTTATAAGTTAGAGTTGTTTTTATAAATATAAAAATTGAATATAAAAGTTAAATATTGTAGCAAAATATTTATATATTATAACAGATTATTATATTTTATATTTTAATTCATCTGTGTATACTTCCTTTTATTTATTACCAGTTGCAAATAAGACACGCTATATCCGATCTGGATAATTGCGCTTGAAACTATTTACAATAATTCATATTGTAGTAGAGTAGGTAACAGAATTTTCTAAAAGAAAATAAACAACTAAGAAAAAGAGTATTGAATAGACAAATACTTCCTTTATTTCTTCTCTTATATTTTATAAATTTTAGTCCACACATCTGGAGACCATGGTTTCGAGACATTGATTTCGAGCATTGTTAGAAGAGGAGTAGACCTCTTTAAAAATCCTGACTTCAGCTGACCCGGTTGATGGACCTCAGCAAGGGTCCTACTCCAGGGATACGGAGGAGCTGCGTCTGTACTCATGTTAGAGTCGGCAGCAAAGGCTTCCATGTTAGGAACGGCCTCAAACTACAGGTAAAGTCAGCCTTCCACCAAAGTGTGCCTGGATCATGGTGCCATGATCAACGAAAGCTGCACCCCTACACCCCATCCCATGAGATACAGCTCGAGGAGCATGAACTCATGGAATTCGTGTAATATTTACACAAGGGGATAAGAAACAACATGGTTTCGAGATAATGACCCTTGTCAGTCCAGGAGAAATTGATCTATGGAAATAAAGGTCACCTTTACTGTCAAAATAGACGGTAAAACCAGGCACCTTCTATTAGCCCGAAACCATGGATTGGGCATTCTATATTTGTCAAAGTTGGTGTTGTGGCTTTGTCATCGACCCGAGACCGCTAGTATAGTTAGAGAATATGGCGCTTAGTTCCAGCGTCTATTTGACGGGAGATTTAACATTTTATTTTTGTGGATTCCCAGGCAAAATGTTTATCTGTGATTTAAATTGTTATTCCTGAGTCAATAATAATCCCCGAGCAGGACAATGGTAAAAAAACAACGCCTTACTATTTCCAAGTCATAGATATTTTAGGTGAAAGGAGAAAGAAAAAGTAAAAAGAAGATAAAACGAGAACAAGCACGAAAAATAAAATGAAAACGCATATTAGATAGCATTTTTTCTTTCAAACCCCCCTTTCCGAATAAATATTACCTAAACATGTTGGTTCAGGTTTTTTCCGCCATACCTGTACTGGTTAAACCATTTTCTTGATCAACTAAAAACCATAATTTGTATTTCAAGCAATTAACTCTCATCAGTCTGGTACAAGAGGCTTCCTGAAAAATCAAGAAAGATAGGTCAAATTTGAGTCTAAATAGATGAAAAGAGAAAGACAATAGAGGTAAAGAAGTAAAAACACTAATGAAAATACATGGATATAATTTACCATGGCTTATGAAGAGATTATTACAGATACAAAAAAAAAAAAGAAAGAAATGATTTGAATTTTTTTTTTTTTTTATCTACGCGACTGTTCACGATTACATTGGAGAGATGCGTCACACCATTATCATCATCAAATAGTTTTATTGTTTGGAGTTCGGGGTATCACAACTCTCTCGGAGTTCTTACGCTCAGTATATTGCCACGTGGAAAATTAGGGAAGACCAACTTCGGGATGAGACAACAATTTATTTCAGGCAAGAACAAACTAAGATGGTCAACAAAAGATAAGCCACGAGGGAAATTTACAGAGTAGCAAAATATAAACATTAAATGACCACTCTGTTTTAATAAAATTAATAAATACTTTGTTACAATATATTATTACAATATACGGTTAAACCTGTCTATAGCGCCCCCTCTTGGGACTCACCAAAATAGGGTGCTATAGACAGGTCACTTTTAATGTAAATCGCATCGTACTACGTATTTAAAATCGGGCGCTATAGAGAGGGAGGTGCTATTTAGAGGGGGTGCTATGGACAGGTTTAACTGCATATTATTTTTGCACACATAAAAATAAAGGTAAACAATTCCCGTTCTCACGCAATTCTGGCCTTAACTACCCGTTTCATGATTTTTCAGGATGCCAGAATGACCTTAGGGATGAAGTATGAAAGGATGAATTGTGAAGAGTAATGATGAACGGAAAAATAAGTGTCCAGGGATGGGAATCGAACCCACAGTGTTCCGCTTACAGGAAAGATGCCATGTCCACTAGGCTACCCTGGACTATATTGAATTATAAAAATTAATATATATAAAAAAAAAACTTTAATATTTTTTCTAATTATTTAAAAAAAAAAAAAAAGATGGAGATGCTGGGTATCGATCCCAGTACCTCTCGCATGCTAAGCGAGCGCTCTACCATCTGAGCTACATCCCCTTGAGTACCGCCTACCGAAGGTCGTTTAATAATTAAAATGTACAGTTGATATCAAGGTCGGAGAGCTCCACCCTGTTATACAAACGTTGTCTACCTGGACATGTCCACGTTATCCTATTCACACCCAGACATGGAGCATTCATCGACTCAATGATTGGCAAATGTCATGTTTCCTTTACTTTTATTAATCAGTTTCAAAGAAAATCTTTTCCCGTCTTTTGGATATTGTATAAAGAACTGATATCAAGCATTTTAAACTTCCCATCCTATAGTAATTCTTTACTTGCAATTTGCAGAAGAGCAATGCTCGATATATATCATTATATGTATTTCTACTGTCCTCAAAGCTTATGATCCATAAGTTCATTTAAAATACCCTTTCCAAGAGTCTAGCTTCAGTATCGGTGTAAAAGGAAAACTGAAAAATGCAATATTACAGCGGTATGATAGATTAAACTGGCGAAATCGCTGGGAGAGTTCACCACTGATAAGCCAGGCCCTCCCATTATTTCACCATGGCAGTAAGGGCAGTAGAAAATTGATTATTTTAAAAAGAACCATACGTGTCAAAAATAGTTGAAATTTATTACAACAGATGGCGGGCCAGTACATCATGTTAATAGTAATTCTTTCTCTTTTTCTTGAAAATAAAGATACTTCGGCCAGGATATCTTTTTATTACCTCGACGTTTTGACCAAAAATATTTTGTTCTCGTCAGTTGCCGGACAGGCAGCTTCTATCTTTCTCTTTTATCCTATAAGTTTTTTTAAGTTTCACAAGAATCATTTTTTCTTATGTGATGGTTTTATAGCGTTCTAAGAGTGTGTGGCATTATAATATCCTCTATAATTGATTTTTAAAATTTACTGTGTTTCAATAGAATTCAATAATGTATTATGTATTCTAAAATTATATTTTGTATTTTTTCCAACTTGAATATCAAACAAGCCAGACAAAACCTTCTCAAGAAGAATATCCCCAAGGACCTAAGAATCCAGACCCAACGACATCATTATAAATTATAATTGTAAATTAACCCCTGTACATCCCCCACAGTATATTGTAAATAGGGTTATCTAGGTTTCTCTTTTGAGTGGCACCTAATAAATTTATTTGGAACTGGAACTGGAATTGGAACTTTGTATTTTTCTATTACAATATTGTTTTATTTTTGTTAGAAAAAACTCCCTTCCCAAGAGCGTCGCGCGCGCGGTTAAAAAAATAACAGATAGCTACTAAAATGTGGACAGACCTCTAAATTCAAGATGACTCCACCAGAAATCTACGAAGATTTGCTGATACCCCGAAACTACTGCTCTCAATGCTTCAAAACATAAAGCATGGATTTACTTCAACAACAATTTTGAATGGCTATGGTTACATTCAGACAGACTTTGCAAAGAAGATCCAAATTACTCCCATTGCCAAGATGAAGACTAAACCGTGGATCTCTTCACCTCTGTCCAACCTTCCAATACCAAAGATTCCTGACAGTCATCATCCTAGGAATCACCAACCTAAGCACAGCATCTGTTTCGGATGCGATCACTGCCTCACTTACTAAGCTCGGAAAGTTTGCCGCCTCCTGGATATGTCTGGCCTTATCTAAATAGTTATGGCAGAGCTTGACTGTATCTTCTTTCCAGACTTCTGGTCTCCAACTAAATTGAAGCCTATTTGTTTCCTTAAAAGTGCCCACAACACCAGAAAGGCTACCCTGATGACACTAATATTTCACCATTACCCGATTTATAACTGACACACGTTTATTAAACTTACACATCCTTGTATAACGAATTATATTTACAAATATGTAAATATGAAAGAATATGCAAAAAAAGGAGAAATTTACCTGACCGGCGTCTCCAGCATCCCTATAAAATCTCCCAAGAAAGAAATCTGCCTGGCGTCACCTCAGTAATTGGACTTCCGCTGACATTGTAAATAAAACCAAGAAGACATTGGTGACAGCCCGGGTAGTTGGTGCCTTCTGTATGTGGGCCCAGGAACCTGGGGGTTATCTAAATAAATAAAAATTAGAAAAACTCTGTGAAATTAACAGCCCAGACATCTACATATATGTGACGACTATGCAACTTTATTAATTCATTGTTGTTGGTGTTTCTGGTAGAGACATTTTGTAAATATGTAAATAGAGCACTTTTTCCACGTCTCGGCGCAAGTAATATTATTATTCTGTGTTCTCAAAAACACTGTAAGATATCTAATACCAAGAGTCCTTATTGATATTTTCTTTTTAATACGATATTTTGTTTAAGGTGTATACTCTCTATATCAATAGTAATGAATTTAAACTAATAGTTTAACTGTTGTGTATGTAGAATTATTTTCTAACATGTATTGGCTGCGGGTGTTGAATATGAGCAGTGACAGATTGCCACGTATATGTTTTAATAGAACACGGGAACTCTCTAATGCTTCGGGCACACCCATCGGTTTCATTAAAAAGCTCACTAATCTGCTTAACGATAATGGATCCCCTGCACTTGTTTCCTGTGATGACCCTGAAACGCTGAGGAGCGCGATTACAGGGCTCTTAAAAACAGCGGCAGACCAATCTATACAAAACGACCTTACAAGAATGGATAAATCTAAGCTATACTCTCACTACAAAGACATTCACATATCTTTCATGACGGAGGGATACCTTTTAGGGGATTTTCCTTTCCCGGTTGTAAGACTACTCGCACAAGTTAGAATACTTTCAAGTTTTTTTAGAGAAAACCACACCAAGATGCTCTGCGGTGAGGACCCGACTTGTACCTTCTGTAATTCAAAACTACAAAATGAAATCACTCACTATATTTTTGATTGCTCTGCTCTGAAAGAAGAAAAAAGAACCCTTATGCTCAAAACTGGGCAACTCTGTGCTTCACTTCCATCAATAATTGACAATATGACCCAGAATAAGTATATTGCTACGGCGTTTTATGGTTTCCACAAGTCCATATCTCAGAAGAAGGCCAAGTGATACTCACTCCTCACTTTCTTACTGCTACTCTTTTTGTGTTGATTTCTTGCTTCCCTCTTTCTTATTATTATTATTATTTTTTTTTTCCTTTTCTTGTTTTTTTTTTTTTTTTTTCATTCTCTTTTTACTCTGTATATATCGCTATTTCCGTTGTCTCACTGCTTTGTTCTTATGCATACCTCTGGTGAATCCTGTATAGGGTCAGTGACCCTAAATAAAGGCTTTTTTTTTTTTTTTTTTTTTTCTAACATACTACGAAGATAGCAAATCTTTATTAGTTCTTTTTAGTTAGTTTAATAAAACAATGTAAAATTCATATAAATTGAAAATATTTATAAATAATTGTATTCAAACCAATATAAAGCAATTTTTGTATCATATATATCAGAAATAGACAGCACCAAAATTACGCTAACAAGATTTAGAACAGGCCATCTCAAGAAAATGAATGGAATATACCAACAAAATCTACCCCACTTGCCCAAAATGTAGCTTGGCACCTGCAGCTCCTGACCACAATTTTGTTTGCATTATATGTACTAAACAGGACCTTTGGGAGAGGCTGCTGCTTATCAACAAACAGCTCGAGGAGCATGAACTCATGGAATTTGTATAATCTTTGCAAGAGGGTGTAAGAAACAACCACACAACATATATCCTGAAGATTTGGCGCCTTTGGTCACGTTCCAGAGGTCCTCCGGGTTCCATCAAGGGATGGAAGAGATCCCATATACATTTCACCTGATTAAATAACATTTTTACTTTTCGGGTCTACACCAGAACAAGTTAGAGAGATTCAGCAAAATGTCCGGTACAAAGAAGTGTTGACTACACAGACACTCCAGGTATATACCACAACAAGTGAGAGAGAGATTCAGTAAAATGTCTGGTACAAAGAAGTGTTGACTACACAGACACACCGGTATATACCACAACAAGTGAGAGAGAGATTCAGCAAAATGTCTGGTACAAAGAAGTGTTGACTACACAGACACACCGGTATATACCAGAACAAGTGAGAGAGAGATTCAGCAAAATGTCCGGTACAAAGAAGTGTTGACTACACAGACACTCCAGGTATATACCAGAACAAGTGAGAGAGATTCAGCAAAATGTCCGGTACAAAGAAGTGTTGACTACACAGACACTCCAGGTATATACCAGAACAAGTGAGAGAGAGATTCAGCAAAATGTCTGGTACAAAGAAGTGTTGACTACACAGACACACCAGGTATATTCCAGAACAAGTTAGAGAGAGATTCAGCAAAATGTCCGGTACAAAGAAGTGTTGACTACACAGACACACCGGTATATACCACAACAAGTGAGAGAGAGATTCAGCAAAATGTCTGGTACAAAGAAGTGTTGACTACACAGACACTCCAGGTATATACCAGAACAAGTGAGAGAGAGATTCAGCAAAATGTCTGGTACAAAGAAGTGTTGACTACACAGACACACCAGGTATATTCCAGAACAAGTTAGAGAGAGATTCAGCAAAATGTCCGGTACAAAGAAGTGTTGACTACACAGACACTCCGGGTATATACCAGAACAAGTGAGAGAGAGATTCAGCAAAATGTCCTGTACAAAGAAGTGTTGACTACACAGACACTCCGGGTATATACCACAACAAGTGAGAGAGAGATTCAGCAAAATGTCTGGTACATAGAAGTGTTGACTACACAGACACACCGGTATATACCAGAACAAGTGAGAGAGAGATTCAGCAAAATGTCCGGTACAAAGAAGTGTTGACTACACAGACACTCCGGGTATATACCAGAACAAGTGAGAGAGAGATTCAGCAAAATGTCTGGTACAAAGAAGTGATGACTACACAGACACACCAG